GATGCGGGTCCCCACGGGGGTGCCTGGCCAGTCTGGGTGAGGGGCTTAGGGCCGTTTTCAGGCTGGCGGGTGACTGAAGCTCCCAGCCTCTCCTTTTTTCCTTATTCTGGGATTTATTTACATTCTATGGCTGTCACTGGAGCTGAGAGCTGGCTTTAGCTCAGACCTCAGCTGCTGAAAGCAGGTTTCTGGACTTTGTTTACCTTCCGTATTTGAAATTTTGTTGCGACTCCAGCTCTGAGATCCCAGCTAACTGAAAGCAGGTTTCTGGGTTTTTGTTTAGCTTCTATATTTGTAACAATGTTTCCTAGAGAGCAGCTGAGAGGCCAGCAGCGTCAGGCCGGGAACCTGGCTTCCTCCGTCACTGGAGCAAGCAAGCCTCCCTGTTAGCGTCAGCTGCCTGGCTGCCGGCTGCCATCTTGGTTGGCAGTTAATTTGCATATCTCGCTGATTAGCCAATGGGAAGGGTAGCGAAGTTATGGCTAATTACCATGTTTCTCTTTTATTAGATAGGATGAGTATATGGTGTATATATACGTGCATGTATATGTGTATATATATGTATACTAGAGGCCCACTTCATGAAATTCATCCTATGGGCAGGTCGGGGGGAGAGGGGAAAGGTGTCCCTCAGCCCAGCCTGCACCCTCTTGCATCCAGGAACCCTTGGGAGATGTCCGACTGGCCTGAGGGGATTGGGTCTAAACCGGCAGTCGGACACCCCGCAAGGGATGTAGCAGGGCACCAAGTGGCAGGCATCCATGGAGGAGCCAGAAGCGGGGCAAGGTGCTGCACCGCCTGTGCTCATCCCAGTCTATACGCCTACTGCCACCACTCGGTAGTGCTGCCACGAAGTCACGAGAGGCTTCTGCTGCTGTAGCTGCACTTGCCAGCTGTGAGCCCAGCTTCTGGCTGAGTGGCGCTCCCCCTGTGGGAGTGCACTGAACACCAGGGGCAGCTCCTGCCTTGAGCGTCTGCCCTTGGTGGTCAGTGCGCATTATAGCAACTGGTCGACTGGTCATTCCATTGTAACGGTCACTTAGGTTTTTATATATGGAGATAGGACATATGTATCATGTGTGTATGTATGTGTATTATTACATATTGAGAGAGAGAGACAAATATGCATGCATACATTTCTTAGCTCTCTCTGATGGAAAAGCCTAGAAGCAATGAGATTCCAGTAGCAAGGAGCATATCGACACCCAAATTTTGGTTTCTAAATACTATTCTCCATTAAAAGCAACCAGTATTCCTTGAAGAAATAGCTAATGTCAGGCTTGGGCCAGGGAAAGGGCAAGATTGGTCTGGGGCATCTTACCAAGCCAGAAAATAAGGAAGTACTCAAATAATAATGGCAACATTTAACTTTTAAAGAATTAATCAAAATATAAAATATACATGGGTATAAATTTGCAAAAGATGTACAAGGACCTGCACACTAAAATCTAGACAACAATACTGAGAGAAATTTAAGAAGACCTAAACTTATAAATAGATACAGTGTGTTCAATGATCAGAAAACTCAAAGTTATTAAGATGTCAATTTTTCTCAAATTTTTCTGTAGATTGAATGCAATAACAATTAAAAATCTATCAGGCTTTCCTGTTTTTTAAAATTAACAAGCTTATTGTCAAATTTATGTGGAAATGCAAAGAACTTAGAATAGTCATAACAACACTGAAGAATTACATTGGAGGATTTATACAACCTAATATCAGCACTTATTATAAAGGTATAGGAGTCAAGATACTGTGATATGAGCACAAAAATAAACAAACAGATCAATGAAACAACACAGTCTAGAAACAGACTTACACAATATGATTATTTACAATGATGCCAATACAACTAAAAAAAAAGACAATTTACTTTAAAAATGGTGTTGAAAGAAGCAGATGTTTATAGGAAAATAAAAAATAAACTTTGACCCTTCTTTATACCATATATAAAAATTAACTCAAAATGGACTCTATGCTTAAATATATAAAGAGTGTAGCAAGGAGCACACTTTAAAAGAAAACATAGAATGGAAACGTAGTGGTTGGCAAAGATTTCTTAAATAAAACACAAATGAATCAACTGTTCTTCATTAAACTTAAAAATGTTTGCTATTCAAAAGACATTGATAAGAAAATAAAAAGAGCCCTAGGTGGTTTGGCTCCGTGGAGAGAGCATTGGCCTGTGGACTGAAGGGTCCCAAGTTTGATTCCGGTCAAGGGCACAGGCCCTGGTTATGGGCTCATTCCCAGTAGGGGTGTGCAGAAGGCAGCCAATCAATGATTCTCTTTCATCATTGATGTTTCTATCGCTATCTCCCTCTCCCTTCCTCTCTGAAATCAATAAATATATATAAAAATAAAATAAAATGACAAGCCACAGACTGGAGGAAAATATCTGCAAAACATAAATCTGACAAATGGCATATCTATAATATATACTCTTATAATTCAATAATATACTCTTATACTTCAATAATACCAAAAAATTGCATTTAAATAATAAGCTGGATGAACAGACACTTCACCATAGAAAATACATGGATGGCAAATATAAACAGACGCTTGGCATCATTAGTCATTAGAAAAATGCAAATTCAAACATGAGATACCACAACCCACCTTACTTGAGTGGCTAAAATGAAAAACTCCAATCATACCAAAATGGTGGTGAGGATATGGAGCAACTGGAGCATTCATGAAGTGTTGATGGGAATATAAAATGGCACAGCCACTTTGGAAAATAGTTTGGGACTTTCTTCAAAAGGTATACATACATCTACCCAGCCATTCTACTCTTAGGTATTTACCCCAGAAAACAAATGCATTAAGTCCACACAACTTATACATGAACATTATTAGCAGCTTTCTTTAAATACCCCAAAACTGGAAACAACTGAAATGTCCATAAAATATAACTATAACAAGGGAATACTACTCAGTAATAAAGAAGAATGCACTACGGATACAAGCAACAACAGATGAATCTCACAGTAACTATGCAGAGTGAAAAAAGTCCGACAAGAGTATATACCACATGATTCTTTCGATACAAGATTGGGAGGGAGGGATTACCAAAGGGCATAAGAAAGTTTTGGGGGTAATGGGTGTGCTAATTATCTCAATTGTGGTAATGGTTTTATGGATATATAAAAATGCCAAAAACGTATACATTATACAAGTTAAATATGTGCAATTTATTGTATGTCATTTAACACGTTAAGTGCCAAGCCTGTTTTGTCTTCCTTTCTGTTTCAGTCACCGGTGACTGACATGGCGCTTAATGTGCTAACCACAGAAAAGCTGTGGCAGGATAAAAAAGCTTAAAAGAGTTCTCATTGGCTAATCTGTGAAAATCTTATATAATAAAAGGCTAATATGCAAATCAACCAAACGGCGGAATGACCAGTCGCTATAATGCACACAGACCACCAGGAGGCAGACACTAAATGCAGGAGCTGTCTCCTGATGGTCAGTGCACTCCCATAAGGGGGAGTGCCACTCAGCCAGAAGCCCTGAGCCAGGCTCATGGCTGGCAAGCGCCTCCCGGACTGCAAGAGGGCCCAGGCCCCGCTGAAGCACTGCCCCCCACCCCCGGCCCAGTGCACAAATTCATGCACTGGGTCTCTAGTTTGATTATAAAAATAAATGTTATGATAATATATTATGACCTATAGGATAAGGAATTTGTAAGTTCATACTGACAGAAATAAATAAATAAACAAAGAAACAAGAAGGGAACGCTCCACCTTACACCAGAATGCCAACGAACAAGTGTAGAAAGAATGATGGATTTAGAAAATCATTATTTGGCAACTATCCTACTGATAAACAATTCAGGTTAAGAATCAATGGATGATAAAACTAGTGGATGAGAGTTTAATGGCAAATCAGATATTTAAAATCTCAAAGTACTTCTCTGAAAAATACTTATTAATTACAAAGTGAAAAACATTTACTTTACAGAGTGAGAAACATGGTAGATACCAAATGAAGCAAGTGACCAAAGACAGCATTGGCAGGAATGGGATGAATAGATACCTTGTGCTCCTTGATGCATGGCACTGAGAACCCTACACCATTTCCATGGTATTCCTGCCCCAAATGAGGAGCCTCAGACAAATCCTAATTAAAAGACATTTTGCAAAATATATACCATAAAACATATTTTTTTTAAATTAAAAAATTTTCAAAAAAGAGGTGAAAAATAAAGACTAATAAAACTGTTCCAGGTTAAAAGAGACAAAAAAAGGCATGACAAATAAATGCAATGGATGACAGCAGAGTGAAATGGAATCTCAACAGTGTCTACACTGACTCTAATTTTCAAGTTAACAGTTTGCTTATCTAACCAGTAGTTTCTAAACTCCTTAGCTGTCACCAATCTAAAATGTGTTTGTGCCACACCAAGGAATAAATCAAGCTCCTGTTTACCTTAAGTCCTACTTTACAATTTTTTTCTGGTATTCAAATGAGGAAATATAACTGTCGATCAATTCAGCAATTAAAGAATCAATGCAAAAGCAGAGTATAAAAAAGACTGAATTACAAAAACTAAAATAAATTCTGGTGAATTATCAGTTATAATACAGGTCTTTAGCAATCATAATCATGGTATCTTTCCCATCACCTACACTTCTGTAAAATATCTTTTCAAATCAGTAATAACATTCATAATAGCAATAACTTTGCCAGTAGAGGCCAAATGTTCTTACTGTTTATACATTTATGACTTTTCCCAATTAGAAATGCCCACGTGCCTGCTGTGTGTGTGTTTAAGTGGCTCTGTATACTGTGAAGAAGTTGACATTGAAGTTGTACCACCCTTGCCAAAGGAATCAGCCTATCTTTATGCACGATTCAACAAAATTAAAAAGCTGACTGCCAAAGATTTTGCAGAAATACGTAAGTTAGTTTGAAATAAGATATTAGTATTAAATCATGCTAGTATTTAACTCCTATAAACACAAAATTCTAGGTACTCATGGCCTATCACATCTAGGTGTATAGGTGTATTTTAAGTATCTACCACATTTCACAAAAATTCACTGATTTGTTGATGAATCTCCTTTCCATTCAGATATCCTCTGGCATCTTTCTTTACTGGTGATTTTGGTGTCTGTGTTGACAGCCCATTTTCCATATAGGCAAACTATGTCTTCTCAACCCCAATACTTCAAGATCTACTTGCTAGTCAGCAGCACCAATATAATCAGGATGCTTCTCCAATTACAATGTTTTATTTTCTACCTTCACTGTAAAAGCACAGAAACTGCTTTTCCTTACTTTAACTCACGGTTCTTAAATCTGACTGTGTAATTTAAAATATCTGGGGAAGCATTTAAAAATTACCAGGCAGGAACTGGTCGGCGTGGCTCAGTGGTTGAGTGTTGACCTATGAACCAGGAGATCATGGTTCGGTTCCTGGTCAGGGCACATGCCCCATTGTGGGCACAATCTCCAGTGGGGGTGTGTGCAGGAGGCAGCCAATCAAGGATTCTATCTCATCACTGATGTTTCCATCTCTTTCTTGCTCCCCCTTCCTCTCTGAAATCAATAAAAATATATTTAAAATACCAGGCAGGCCCTAAGTCCCCAGAGGCTGAGGTCTGGGGAGAGGCCCCGGCATCATCAAACACAACCAAACTCCTCAGATAATTCTAGTAGAGCTGGTGTCCTTCTTGAGTCATTCGCAATCTTGGCTTCTGGCATCCTAGCAAACCAATCCTCTGTCTTCTGCAGAGCCTAGTCCCAGTCCTGCGTCACTAATCCCTCATAAATTTCCTAGATTCCTATGTTGTCAAATGCTTCTGAGGAAAATCACACCGAAAAATGTACACTGGCCCCGCCCCACTACACATGTACAAGATTAACAGTAACTGGATTCATGCCGTTCTGGTGACTCCCACTGGCTGAAGTATAGTTGTTCCTCGTTATTTGTGGATTCCACGTTTTCAAACTCACTGACTTGCTAAAATTTAGTTGTAATCCCAAAATCAATATTTGAAGCACTTTCACAGTCATTTGCAGACATATACACAGTGGCAAAAACAACGGAGTTAGCCAGTAGAGGTCGAAGGTGATGTTCTGACTTTTCGTTTCTGCTTTCACACTGTAAACCAGTCCTGTTCAGTCTTAGTGCCACATTTTTCACATTTTTGTGATGTTTGCTGTTTAAAATGGCCCCTAAGTGTGGTGCTAAAGTGCTGTCTAGTGTTCCTCAATGCAAGAAGGCTGGCTGTGATACGCCTTGTGAAGAAAATACATGTGTTAGTAACCTTCATTCAAGTGTGAGCTCCAGTGCTGATGGCTATTGAGTTCAATGTTAATGTATCAACAGTATATACTAAAGGCTATAGCCCTACCTGGTTTGGCTCAGTGGATAGAACGCTGACCTGCAGATTCATGTTTCTATATCTCTCTCATGGGTATGAATCCAGTCAAGGGCACATGCCCAGGTTACAGGCTCGATCCCTAGTAGGGGGCGTGTAGGAGGCAGCCGATCAATGATTCTCTGTCATCACTGACGTTTCTATCTCTCTCTCCCTCTTCCTTCTTCTCTGAAATCAGTTAAAAAAAAAAAAGTCTATAAAAAGAAACACACATAAAATTATGTATTGATTGCTGATGAAAATGTGTGATCAGAGGGTTGAAGGAACCTAGCCCTGCATTTCCCCTGGGAGCCATAATGTTCCATATTTACTAATTCAGTGTTTGTGGTAATTTTATACACATGACTGTCCCATATAATGAGAAGCATTTTTGTCTATTGTCAACCAATAAGGCATAGAACAATTCAGATAACATGCCCACAATGACAATGCAACATGCCAGCAAAAAAGTTTGCGATTCTATTCAATCAAGTGTAATGCTTATTTTCCATGATTTGCAACAAGAATTTCTTTCAAACTGCCTGAGCATCCTGAAAATTCAGAATACAAAGGACTCTACTAAATTCTCTTCTGAACCTGTCATTCTAGACTCCAGTTAGAAAGGCCATCAGTGAAAGCACAGAATAGATGCTCAGCATTAATTCATCAAAACTTCTTGAGCTACTAACAGTAGATACTCTACTAGACACTAAAAACAAAATATGGCTGAATGACCTGTTAAATACTTTTCTTCAGTCCACACAAATGAAAACTTAACTTCTTATTTTTGTATATTTTCCCTTCAAGCTAATTTAAGAAGACTCGATTTTACGGGAAATTTGATTGAAGATATAGAAGACACTACTTTTTCAAAACTCTCTCTGTTAGAAGAACTGACACTAGCTGAAAATCAACTATTGAAACTTCCAGTTCTTCCTCCCAAGCTTACTTTATTTAATGCAAAATACAACAAAATCAAGAGTAGAGGAATCAAAGCAAATACATTCAAAGTAAGTATTTTATAGTATGACTGAATACAGTACCAGTTTTATACAGCCAGGGATGATATGATAAAAGAAAGAGAAGTTCTGGTCTAGAATTTGGTTTTATGTTTTAAGATAATTTTAATTTAATAAATGAAGACATTATTTACCTAACAAATAGCCACACCATTAGGCTCATTTATGCCTGTACTTCACAAAATTATATAATCTTTATCTTATTTCATGGACTACTTTGTGTCTCATGTTTTTCACTTGCTTACAAAGCAAATACTTATTTAAACAGACACTAGAGGCCGGGTGCACGACATTCATGAATGGGGGAATGGGGTCTCTTAGCCCGGCCTGTGCCCTCTCGCAATCCCTCTCACAATCCAGGACCGCTGGCTCCTAACAGCTCACCTGCCTGCCTGCCTCATCGCCCCTAACACCTCTGCCTGCCTGCCTCATTGCCCCTAACTGCTCCCCTGCTGGCCTGATCACTCCTAACCGCCTCTGCCTCAGCCCCTGCTCCCAGGACCCAGGCTTCCCTCCTCTGGCCAGGCGCAGGCACCCGGGACCCGGGCATCCCTGCCTCTGGCTGGTCATAAGCACCTGGGACCTGGGCCGGCTTTGCCCGGGCCAGCCGCAGGCGGCCAGGACCACGGGCGGCTTCACCCCGGGCCTGGTTTTGTCAGGAAGGACGTCCAAAAGGTCATCCACAAAATGTCTAGTCTAATTAGCATATTACCCTTTATTAGTATGGTTCATAGCCGCATGGAACCAAGACCTCCAAAAGGGAGTTTTCCTGCCTTTTTCCTTACAATATGAGTAATTTACTAATGCCAGAAAAAATAAAGTTATAGAAGTGAATTTTAATTTTAATACTTCAACATATTAGACCATATAATTTTATAGCCTTCCTTTTGAATCCCATGATGGCACCAAAAACAAAATTATCTATGTAGTAAAAATTACTTTTCTTAATTTAGTATTTCAAGGAAATGTATGTACAGGAAAAGGGGAAGGTGTGTAACTTTGATAGCCAGGTTGTCTTGAAATGCATAGTCTATGGAGAAGTAATCATCTCAGCCCAGGAAGGAACCCCAGATAAAGGATCATGCTATTGTTGACAAGAGAAAACCTCATTCAAAAAGAAGGTTTGTAGCTTGTAATGATAAGCACCTAAAACTATCAAATATTCATTATCATAAATTAATGATAATCACACAATGTACAATCTATCCACAAACATATGTGTCAGAAAATGTAAAAATATTCCACTTTTCTCCTATTTCTGCCTACAATTAAGGGACCCTCTTTCTACTTTAAGGGGTATACTAGAGATAAATCAAAGTTTCACAGAATTTAATGGATTTAGGGGACTTTTAAAAACAAACAAAAACCACCTTAGCTGGTTTGGGTCCGTGGATAGAGCATTGGCCTGCGGACTGAAGGGTCTTGGGTTCAATTCCAGTTAAGGGCACATGCCTGGGTTGTGGGCTCGATCGCCAGTAGGGGGCATGCTGGAGGCAGCCAAACAATGATTCCCTTTAATCATTGATGTTTCTCTCTCTCTCTTCCCTCTCCCTTACTGTCTGAAATCAATAAAAATGTTTGAAAGAATAAAAACAAAACCCCTGTAAGTTGAAGATAAATAATTCTATCCAGTAAGCCTTTGAATAACTGGCATTTTAAAGACCTACAGGAACTGATCAACATTTCAAAAAGGAATGTTTGAATATTTTGCATTTTACACATGCATTACAATAGGGATTCATGACAAGTTGACATGGAAATGATAAACTCAGCTACCTTGCAGTTTGGCTTAACACCCTAGGCTGCAAAAGCCACTGGTAAATCCGGTTACTCTAACCCAGGGGTGGGGAACCTTCTTTCTGCCAAGGGCCATGTGGATATTTATAATATCATTTGCAGGCCACACAAACTTATTAACTTAAACATTATCCTGCTATACTTGGTCAAACATTTAATTAACTCATCCCTAATGCCTTGGCAGGGCCAGACCAAATGATTTTCAAGCCTTATAGGGCCCTCGGGCTGGAGGTACCCACCCCTGCTCTACCTCAAGTGAAGAGGGCCCCTGGGGAAGACAGGAACTTGGGGTCCAGATGGTGAATGATGAAACGCTAAGGAAGAATCAATAACAGCAAATTAGTTCTAAAAAATTAAAATTTGCAAATTCTGCTACAGGATGTACATCAGAGATAAGGTAAAAGATTAATGTCAGGAGAAACTACATCTTGAAATCATTATAAAATTATACTCAACTAGAGGCCCAGAGCTTTAAATTCGTGCACAGGGGGTCCCCTGAACCCAGCCTGCACCCTCTCCAATCCGGGACCCCTTGGGGGATGTCCAACTGCCAGTTTAGGGCAATCCCAGGGATCGGGCCTAAACCGGCAATTGGACATTCCTCTCACAATCTGGGACTGCTGGCTCCTAACTGCTCATTTGCCTGCTGGCCTGATCGCCCCTAACTGCACCCCCGCCCCCATGCCAGCCTGGTTGCTCCCAATGGCCCCCCTCTGCTGCCCTAGAAGCCTGCTGTTCAGTCATTTGGTCATCCTTCACTAACCCCCCTGCCAGCCTTGTCGCCCCACGCATCCTTGCTGTTCGGTTGATGCTCTTACTGTGACCATGTCCTGGACAATTTGCATATTCCTCTATTATTAGTATAGATAACTGGGTTACTGGTCATGATATCAAACCCTTGGGGGGGATTTTTACTAAAAAAGTATTTAATAAATAGCTTTGGGAAACATCTTACTAACAAGCATATACACCTCTTAGGAATATTCATTTTGCCATAAATTGGACCTAAAATGGGAAGTTCTGGAGGTTGAAGACAAGTTATGAGAGCACCAGGATCCACCTGTAATCCTGTATAGGGACTGTCCTATTGGCTGCTCCTAAGATAAAGTCAAAGGGCCCCAGACACTGGTGTGAGGGCTGAGCCGGGCACTGCTGGGTCTCCAGCAGGGGTCTACTGCCCTTCGTAAGAGACAAAGTACACCATTTGTGAGGCCAAAAATACCCCCAAAGCCAAAACACTCTAATAGCAATGATAAATAGTACAGACATGTCTCTGTCAGTACCAATTTGTATATCTATGTGGACATACATGAGTGTGTAGCACTGGAACCCTATGAAGAAATGCACTGACCTCACTGAAGTAAAAGTGCCTTTCCTTGCAGAAACTGAATAACCTGTCCTTCCTCTATTTGGACCACAACGCGCTGGAATCTGTGCCTCTTAATTTACCAGAAAGCCTACGTGTAATTCATCTTCAGGTAGGACTGCTCCTTTCAAATACCTGACTTTAATTTAAATTACTAACGATCAGTCTTATGACTCATTATAAAACGCACATTCACAGGTAAATTTTATCAAAAGTATCACTATGAGCCAATGCACTCTCTGCCCACCAAACAGGGCTCTGTCCAGAGCACTTGAAAGGACCAGCAACACGAGGTCTGAGGCCTGCTCTCAGAGGGTGTTAGTCCCGAGCTGTGCAGTGTCTCCTAGTTAACCTGGCACGTGGATTTGAAGTTGGGGGACACTAAAAACTCGGGCTTAAGTTTCTTTCTCTAAATAGCAATAAATCTTTGCTTTTGAAGCCTTTCCAACTGACTTTACTGTTCAACATCAACTTATGGTAAAGAAAAGTGAAGAGGGTATAAAAATAAACTAAAATTGATCTTTCAGCATTATAAGAATTCCTATTTGTTCTTTTTACTTATTTAAAGGTTACTTAAGGACATAGTATGCATTTTGCACTGACACTCTAGAATAGGATACATTTTTCCAGCGAGTATAATAGCAAGTTGTCTGTTCTTCCAAAGTCATGCTGTAGATTTAAAAGTAAAGGCTGACCTTGCACAGAGAGGGTTTAATTACCATGATGATGGATACACAGTATGTACAATACAGTAGTTTAAAAATCACTTTTTAGATAAAATATTCTGAGATCCCATTGCATGGCATACAAAAGATTGATTTCAGCTATCTGAATACCTTTTCCCTTTTGTTTTCCAGTTTAACAACATAACTTCAATTACAGATGATACATTCTGCAAGGCTAATGACACCCGTTATATTCGGAACCGCATTGAAGAGATACGCTTGGAGGGAAATCCCATTGCCCTGGGAAAGCATCCCAACAGTTTTATCTGCTTAAAAAGATTACCTGTAGGCTCATACTTTTAACCACTATTAGTGCAGCATATAAACTAAAGCACACACATAATTATAATCTATCTCAACAATGTCTAAAGGAGCATAAATACCTGTTTAATATTAACTTTGTATCCCACTATGAAGGAATTTTATGTTTTAAGCAAGTATGTTCAAAAGCTTACATATAAGTAAGAAGTACGTCTGAATCTCTAAGTTTAAAACAAGGTAATGAGAAAATATTTAAACAGTACTAGAAAATCTTTGTAGTCTATAGTAGAGCGCCATTTAAAAGGTATGCTTTTATGCAAATACCCAAAATTAAGAAGCATTATTTCTATTACTAATGAAGTAAAAGGATAAGTCCAAGAAACTTTCAACTGTTTGTCTTTTCTGGCCTTTACTGGATCCCTAAAAGTAGTTAAGGCTGACATTCCAAAAACTCTGAAAAGCTAAATATTTCCAGTGATCTCCCATTTTTCTTTTATAATTCAGATATTATTCATTATGAAGGAGAAACTCTTTCGTTCTATTAAGGCAGCTATTATCTTTTTACTTAGCCTGAGAAATAGGGTATAGTCCAGCCGTGGGCAAACTACGGCCCGCGGGCGGGATTTTATGTAATGATGTTTACTTTGAATTTATATTAGTTCACACAAACACTCCATCCATGCTTTTGTTCCGGCCCTCCGGTCCAGTTTAAGAACCCATTGTGGCCCTCGAGTCAAAAAGTTTGCCCAGCCCTGGTATAGTCTCATAGGTAAAACTTTCCAAATAAAGTATAATTTTACTCTGATAAAGGGCTAATATAGTAATGTTCAATGTTATTCTGCTTTGTAGTCACACAGTTAAAGGTTTCAGTAAAACAGTATAGAATTCTCTTTCTTCCACATTAACATTCTAAATGTAGTATAAAATATTTTAAGAAGCCAAGCAGATAAAAACCAGTATGCTTGAGAAAAAAAAAAAGTCCATCCCATTTCTCAGAAAATAGCTACAAAGTTCTCTATTGTAAAGGCTTACAAATATGATAAATACTGCAAAACATTTTCTTTTTACATTACAGGAATGGGGAATCTTATCAATAAATTTGTCCGAATGTAAGACATAAAAACCAAATGAATTCCATGGTGTTATTACATACCACCCTCCCATCCACCTATACACATCCCCGTTCACCCAAAAAGACCTTATATTCACAAGAAAGCTTCTGAGGAACATTTTCTATAGATCCATAAGCAACTAATACATTTAATGGTGAGAATTTATCTTCAATCTAATAGTGAAGACTTATGATGATACAATGCTGTCAGATTAGTTTCTAACGTAACTTTACATTTGTCCAAACCCCATTCAAAAGTCTTTATCTCCACATTATTTTGGAGTTACATACAAAATTATCAGTGCTTCAGAAACATGACTGAACGGTGTATATAAAAATTACCGCAAAAAAAAAATTATCAACATTGGCCCAACCCAGTTTGGCTCAGTGGACAGAACACTGGCTGCGGACTGAAGGATTCTGGCAAGGGCATGTGCCTTGGTTGCAGGCTCAATCCCCGGGCCCTGTGCAGGAGGCAAGCAATCAATGTCCATGTTTCTCTCTCTCCTCCTCCTCCCTTCCACTCTCTAAAAATCAATGGGAAAATATCCCTAGGTGAGGCTTAACAACAACAATAAAATTACTGACATTGTTTCCAATATAAACTGTACACTAGAATCAAGCTGGTCTCTGTATATTATTCCCAGAACAAATACTTATTCCTATTTTTAAGCATTTGCCTCCATTTGTTTCCATTTTTCCCTACCTAGAATGACCTCCTGTTTTTCATTTTTTCCCCAATTTATCAAGGTTGACCCCAAAATGAAACTTTTTCATTAAACAATCTGTGTTCTCTTAAGGCCATAATAATTACCTCATAACACTTATTAACTCATTCATGTATTTTATTTCAGTAACTGATAATCATGACTATTATACTGCTTTCTCATTATTTTGTGTGCATGCCTCATTTCTCAATGACTGAAACTCACTGAGCACATAAATATTCCCTTTATACTTTCAAAGTCCTAGCATGATAGTGAGTACATTTAATTGAAGATAAAATAAACAGTGCAAAATAAAACCCATTTAAACAGAAGGGCTCTGTTGTATTTGAAAAAAAAATAGAATCTTTATGTTATTATAATCCTGATTAAATTAAAGGAAATAAATTGTAAGTTTATCTGGAAAAATAAACTTGATGAGAGCTAACTGATGGGGTCAAAAGTGGGAAAATGGCCCTGGGTGGCAAACTTGAAAGAACAAAACTGGAGGATTCACACATGCTCCTTTCAGATGCAACTACAGAGATACACTAATCAAAAATGTGGTATTGGTGTAAGGACAGACATAGCGACCAATGGAATATTATAGAGAGCCCAGAAACAAACCTTTGCGCATATATACATATATATATATATTCAAATGATTTTCAACAAAGGTGCCAAGACCACTCAATAGGAAAAGGACAGTCTCTTCCACAAACAATGCTGGAAAACTGAATAAGCACATGCAAAAGAATGAGGTTGGGTCCTTAGCTTACAAACTAAACACCTAAACTTAAGGGCTAAACTATAAAACTCTTTTTTAAAAAATATATTTTATTGATTTTTTACAGAGAGGAAGGGAGAGGGATAGAGAGTTAGAAACATCGATCAGCTGCCTCCTGCACATCCTCCACTGGGGATGTGCCCACAACCAAGGTACATGCCCTTGACTGGGATCGAACCTGGGACCTTTCAGTCCACAGGCCGGCGTTCTACCCACTGAGCCAAACCAGTCAGCGCGACTATAAAACTATTAGAGAAAAATCTTTATGACATTAAATTTGACAATAATATTTTGGATATGGCATTAAAAATAGATAATTTGGCTTCTTCAGAATTAAAAACTTTCATGCATCAAAAGACATTCTCAAGAGAATGAAAAGACAATCCAGGGGATGGGAGAAAATATTTACCAATTATGTATCAGATAAGGGATCAATATCTAGAATATATAAAGAACTACAACGCAACAATAAAAACTCCAACAATCTGATTCAGTGCGGAAAAGCCTTGCATAGATATTTCTCCAAAGAAGACATACAAATGGACCATAAGCACATGAAGAGATGCTCAACATTGCTGGTTACTGAGAAAATGCAAATCAAAACCACAATGAGGCCCTAGCTGATTTGCTCAGTGGATAGAGCATCAGCCTGTGAACTGCAGGTCCCGAGTTCGATTCCAGTCTAGGGCACATGCTCGGGTTGCAGGCTTGATCCCCAGTAAGGGGCGTGCAGGAGGCAGCCAATCAATGATTCTCTCTCATCATTGATGTTTCTATCTTTCCCTCTCCCTTCCTCTCTGAAATCAATAAAAATATTTTTAAAAACCACACACACAGACAATGAGAATACCACTTCACACCCATTAGGCTGGCTATGACAAAAAAAAAAAAAACCCACCCCAAATTAACAACTGGATATGAAGGAACTGGAAGCCTTGTACACTGATGCTGGAAATGTAAAATGGTATAGCTACTATGGAAACAAACATGAGTTCTTAAACAGTATTAAAGATAGACTTGCCATATAATCCAGGAATTCCACTCGCAGGTTATACTTAAGAGAACTGAAAGCAGGGATTCGAACAGATATAATGATTATTGTACACCATGCTTCATAGAAACATTTTCGTAATAACCAAAAGACAGAAACACCCAGCTGTCCATCAACAGATGGATGGATCAACAAAATGTGATAAAGCACATAAAATGGAATACTATTCAACCTTAAAAAGGAAGGAAATCATGACACATGCAACCACACAAATGAGCCTTGAGGACATTATGTTATGTGAAATAAGCCAGGCAAAGGGCTAATTTTAGGATTCTGCTTCAATGAGGTAACCAGAGTGGTCAAATTCATAGAAACAGAAGCTAGAATGCTAGTTCCGGGAAGCTGCGGGAGAAGGAAATGGCAAGTTACCATTTAATGGGGACAGAGTTTCAGTTTGGAACAATGAAAAACTTCTGGAGCTAGATATTGACATGATTGTACAACAATGTGACTGTTTCTTTCCATTCTAGTAAACTTATCACCATAGAAGTGCTCTGCCTACAGGAAAACCACACAATTATACTTCACACCTGCATGGAAAGCATCTGGAGGTGAACTGGCTTTGGAAATGGGACTAGTGCTCACATTCCCCACAACCCATCCAAATGTATAAACAACCAACCACATTAGGTGATTCATAACTATAACTGGCGGCATATTCCTCAATCATTTGTGAAGAAGAACTATTTAATTGTTCTGGTGCCAAGAGCACCCGAAAGTAAACGAGATAATCGAGAGAACTCCTCAAGGGACCACAGTACAGATACAGATATTAGCATGTTTCATTCTAAAGAAAACCCTATGCCTGACAGATTTTATTAGTTCAACCAAACTGAATGCAAATAATCTATACTAATAAAGGGTAATGCGCTGACTAGACAGGACAACTTCCAGACGTCCATCCGGACAAAGCACAACAGCTGCGCCTTGGCTGGCGTCGCGGGAGAGGCCTCACACGGGTCGGTCCAGCACCACAGCCCCTTTCACAGGGGCAGAGGGAGAGGGGGCTGCGCGGTCCGGTCCCAGTGCTGCCTCTTCTGCGGAGGCAGCTACAGAGGCAGCGGCGCAGGCCCAGGCCCGGCGCCAGGCCTCCACAGAGGCTGGACGGGGTGCGACCTGCTGTGTCTCAACCTCCCACAGCCCCTCCCACAGCCAACCTGGCCCCAGATCACCCCCCACCCACCACTGGGCAGGGGACAGGGCCAGAACTAAGAATGGAGGGCCGACAGCCAGCAGTCAGTTGGCCGGCGGTCAGTCGCAGTGGCCGCTGGCAGTGGCAGCAGCAGCGGGGTGATGGGGGTGGCACCTTCCTATGATCAGTCCAGTCGCCTCCCACAGAGAGAGACCAGACTGCAGCTTAGGCCCGCTCTCCAAGTCAGCTCTCCGCAGGGAGCAGGCCTACGCCATCAGTAGGACATCCCCTGAGGGCTCCCAAACTGTGAGAGGGAGCAGGCCGGGCTGAGGGGACAGCCCTCCAGTGCACAAACTTTTGTGCACTGGACCTCTAGTAATAATAATAATAGAAAACAAAACAAAGGAGAGTTAATGGCTCTTGAAACCTGAACCTTGACAGGCTACTTATGCTGACTCTTTCAGAGCTGGTTTTTGTGTGGATCACTGCTGTTAATAATTTGATACTATCCAACTATGTAGAACCTGGAGGATTACAATGCAGCCAAACATAATTCTAGTTATGCCAGAAAACAAACAAAAGGAATAAAAAGGAGTTTTTTAATATATCGGGATCAGACTTAAGAATCAATACTTTATAAGAATCAGGGTTTAGTATTTAAACTTGAAATATTGATAATTAAGAAGCTTAAAATACAAAGGCTAACTCAGGAAGATCATACTGCTATGTGATAAGCATGCTACAATTTTATTCTTTTTTAAAAAGACTTTTTAAATTGACTCTTAGAGACAGAAGGGAGAGGGGAGAGAGAGAAACATTCATCAGCTGCCTCCTGACCAGGCAGGCATGTGCCCTCACCAGAAATCGAACAGGCAAGCTTTTGGTACACGGGATGTGATGCCCAACCAACAGAGCCATACCAGTTGGGGCTCTTTATTAGCCTCTGTCATTTCACTTCAAGTACGCTTGATAAATTAATTTTTTAAAATGTGTATTATAAAACATATAAAAATATAACTACACTTCTTTCAAGATATTCCATCATAAAGATTCACTGATTTGTACAAAAGCATTCCTCCTTCATTTATTCCAAATAATTGCAAATTCCAGAAGCCAATTAAATTTTTCTTGTTTAAAAACTTTAAGGAAAGAATGTTATGTTAAATCTCCAAATTAAAATGTGTATCATGCCAAAACCGGTTTGGCTCAGTGGATGGAGCATCGGCTTGCGGACTGAAGGGTCCCAGGTTCGATTCCGTTCAAGGGCATGTGCCTCGGTTGCGGGCACATCCCCAGTAGATGTGCAGGAGGCAGCTGATCGATGTTTCTCTCTCATCGATGTTTTTAACTCTCTATCTCTCTCCCTTCCTCTCTGTAAAAAATCAACAAAATATATTTTTTAAAAAAATGAGTTTCACTTTTTCATCATATGTTTAAATTTGAAGACTTTAGACACTACCTTGAAATGTTTAAATGTGCGCTTCCGATATTCACACCATTCCACAAAAAAGTGCAGGCTTCGGAAAAACATAAACAGATCTCTTCTTTCTTCTGCTCTGTAGAAATAAAAAAGTTTATAATTAATAAATATTATTAAATGAGAGGTCCAACCTGGCTTTATTCAATATTCGTTTTTTATAGATCCTTCACTAAAGCTAAAGAAAATATTAGATATATTTCTACATACTGAACTCTGCACTTTTGAGTGTGTGCCTGTGTGGTTGCTAATGCAACTTTTTCAGCCTGGAATGCCCTTTTCCCCATCTGCAAATGTTTAAATCCTACCCATCTTTCAAGGCACCACTCAGATGCCACATTCTCCTTGGAATTTTACTTGGTAACTGTGGTAGAATAAAGAATATATCTTGTTTTGTCCCTGGTTGCTGGCACAGAGCTTCAAAAACACTTAAAAGTCCCGAGTGCCAGGAGTGCCTTTGTGATGTGAATGACTCAAGGTGACCCCTAGATAGCCTCCAGATAGGGACTGGTCACCAGAATCACCAACCACTCGATCAAAGAGATTGAAACTTTGGGCCAACCAGACCTCTAGCAAGGAGAGAGGGTGGGAGGAGCTCAATCACGTGGGCAATCATTTAATCAATTATCAATAGGTAAGGAAACACCAATAAAAAATCTGGACAACAAAGCTCAGTGGAGCTGGAGGCTAATGTGCATGGATTCTGAAAGAAAGGGAGCAAAAGTCTACATTTCTCCTTGTAACCCCACCCCACCCCTGCCCCAGACCATGCCTAGTCATTGTTTCCATTTGGCTGTTTCTAGGTTGTACCTTTAATAATAAAATCACAGTTTTTAGTATAGCATTTTTCAGTGAGTTTCTTGAGTCTTAGCAAATTATCAAATCTGAGGGGGTTTGCCCTAGCTGGTTTGGCTCAGTGGATAAAGCATCAGCCTGCAGACTAAAGGGTCCTGGGTTTGATTCTAGTCAAGGGCACATGCCAGAGTTGCAGGCTCTATCCCCAGTAGGGGGCGTGCAGGAGGCAGCTGATCAATGATTCTCTCTCATCTTGCTGTTTCCA